TATAAAAACTTTAGCATAAGAATTTGATCAGAGCAGTTTGAGCTTTTCAGTGAAGTTGCTTTTTTTCTGGGTTTTTCAGAGTTTGAAATAGTTGAAGTTTCTTCTGAGAAAGTAAGGTGTCAGTTTATATATATATTTAGCTAAGGTCCATTGTATTTGGGTACCAAATCCTGATTTGTTGTTGTTATCTTCTCTGGCCAGAGTTGTCTGCATTTATTTACAGTTGGAAATCTTTTTCTGAGGTGAGACCACACCCGAGTTATTTTTGGTTCTGTCATTTCCGGTTAACTTTCAAGTTGATTTAATTGTTTTGTTTGAGCAGATTTTTGAGAGGATTGGGTGGGTGGGAGTGATTTGTTAAGTGTCCTTTAAACAGCAACTTTTCTAAAATGAAACTAGACTAGACTGGGGGTCAGAAAACCTAGGTTTTACTCCTGCCTCTGGGGCATATTTTGACCTTGCTTTTTTTTTTTAACCTTGCCTTTTTTTTTTCTTTCAATAATCTCATCTGCAAAATAAGGTTAATAATACTGTTTGTCAAGCATCTGAGCCATGCAAGTGACATAAGGGATGTGAACACCTTAAGACAAGATGCTGTTATGAAACATGATAGTAGTTTGATAATAGATCGCTTCCTACATAGGGATTGATGGAGAGCTCATAACATTTGATCACAACTATCAAAATTAGAACGTATATGAAATTGTAACATAAATAAAGAAACTGTTCTCAGTCAGGAAATTACCTCTTTTACAGTATATAAAGGATAGCATGGAAAACAAGGTGAAGAAAGATCCATGCAGTTTGGCTTAGTAGCTCCCTGGCAGCTGGTTTCTTCTCTAGCAGTAGAAGGTATTTATTTAATGTCAAGAATATAAAAATACCTAAGATTTCACTCATTCATTAAATGTGTCTGGAGAGCCATCTGCAGTATAAGTTACAAGGTGCTCATTTCTTTCTTTTTTGTTTTAAAAGTAATATTTTTGTGAGCCTTTATAACAGTGGTATATTCTGGGTCCCACACTGATGTCTGGGGCGGAGGACTGGAATTCAAATGATGGCATCAAACCTAAGCTTGATTTTTTAACCCTGTTTCCAAGTTTCTTCTCCCTTTTGACAGTGATTTTTGTAAAAACAGTTTATTCCTCTGAGCTCAATCTTTTCAGTAGCAACAAGGACATTTCAGTAGAAATTACATGATAGATACGGAGAATCCATATGCTGAATAGGGTTTAATAGAACAGTCAAGCTTTTTAGTAAGAGGCTGACCTATGTCTCCTGTTCTCAGTGGAATCCAGATATATTATATATATATATTCAGAGAAGGTGCTGTGTCATTTGTAGCACACACTGGAGGTCACAGGCTCTTTAATACCCTGCAAAAGATTTTTTATAGCCAAAAAAAAATATTTTGCCAACAAAATTTAAGTTTAACATTTAAAGATTTTATAGAAGATCAATTCTGATTTTCCTCATTATCATACTTGAAAAGTGAAATCACTTAGCATGAATAATTGATGCAAAATTTCCTTGTAATGGTGGTGAAAGAAAACTGCACATATTTAAACTGTATATAATATTAACACTCATGGCAATTACAGCTTCAAATTAGTACTAGTTGGGGCTAATAGGTACAAAGCTTATTAGGCCCAGCATATCAGAAAGAAATACATTTACATCATCAGAGAGTTAAAAAAATAGTGTGAAGACCCTGTCAGTTACCACCTCTTTCACATGATTTTCTTAAACCAGGCTGAAAATATGTAAAAACAGTCATAAATATATACATATATACACATGTATTATATATATTATCATTCTTACAAGAATAGCAAAAGTGATGCAAAATCTTCAGTGTGAGATTATGATTCAGCTACATTTTACAAAAATATGGTCTAAGATGGCAGTAATCCCAGTTAACATCCTGGGTTAGATCTCTTCAAGAGGGACTGATAATTTATACAGTCAGACTTTAAAATTTGTAGATAAAATTAGTTCAGTACTGCCACTGAGAAATACTCTTAACATATAAAGCTTCCAGGCCACAGTTTGATGGTCTGAAGTATCAAAGTGGTTTGATGAGTTGGTTTGTGGGCACTTAAGAACATTTGCCTGTCATCTTTAAAACAGGCTTTCAGTGTATCACTGAAATTTTTGGAGTATTTTACAAATTCTCTCTTTCGGTGTTCCAGTCCTTTAAGGTCAGGTATTGATATTTCTTGAAGATATTATTCATGGTAGAAAGACTTTTTTTATTGCACTGGCTGTATCCTTGATTGTCTCCAGAAACCTCACTGTCATTGATCTCATCTGGAATCTTACTGAGAACTGGCTTAAGTGCTTGTGCCTTTTCATTTAGGTCCTGGAATTCTGGCTCTGGTCATTCAGTAATACACTCTTCTACATCATCAGTTGCCATTTGAAGAAGAGATTCTGTAAAATTAACTTCTACACTTTTTTTCTCTAAAACTTTCATAGTAATGCCTGTGTGAGCCCTGGTTTTCTTTTTCAGCCTTAATGAAAACTGCTGTCGGTGTCTGAACTGCAGACAGCTTTGCTTGTTCTAGCTCATTAAACACAGGATATGTGACTGCACAGAGGTGCACAGGAGCCACGGAAGTAGTTTCAGCTTCATTTTCATCTCTTCCACTGTCACCCTCTCAAGGGCCAACTAGTAGAGAAAGTGCAAAAATCATGAGGAATCTTTGTTTGCTGCAGAGTTTCTTCTCTTTTTTTTGTGACAAAAGAATAGGGCAAACAAAATACCGCGGCATTGACTTCATTTCCCACTTTTGGAGCCCTCTTCAAATCCTGGATCCCTTCAAAGATTTTAAGAATAGTATGGGCAAAAGTTGCTATTTCTGTTAAAGGGCAACCCCAGTGTGAAATGGGTTGCCTGACTGGGTCTTCACCCATGCACTTAACTTATAATAGACTCAACTGCAGGTACATACAAAAAGGGGTAATAAAGGGTTTATTTACAAAAAGAGGAAATGAAGAAATGAATAACTCAGGGAGAAAGAGAGAGAGAGAAATTGGCTAAGGCGTCCTACCATTTCTGCTGAGCTGGAACCCCAATAGCACGCCGAAAGCCAATGAAAAACCAAGGACCGCCAAGGCCCACATATCTGGTTATATACCAACCCTGGCTGCTTAACTCCACCTCGGTTCCCAGCAATCCTCCCTACCGTGGTGATGACATTATGGGATTTGTAGTCCTTAGTGTCTTGGATCTCCTTGTCTGGGGTGGGCATGGGGTCCATAAAACCTGTTTGTGGAGTTTGTTCAGGACATACTTCCCCCCAGCATTTCCGCAAGTATGCACTAAACCCCATTTCTATTTCTAATGCCTATGCCTTATGTATTTCCACAGTTCCTGTCCCTTCCTTTTTCTCTTATAATACCAAGTATTTTAAAATTTGAAAGGCAGAAAGTTAAGAAAACAGACTTTTCATATCTTCCCTCCTCCAGGAACAACTGTTCTTAATAGTTAATACTTATTTCCATTTACTGGTATATTTTGAATTAAAGGGAAAGTGGATCACATGTATGAAAGCTTTCATTATGCAAATAATATTTTTATAATTTTACTTAACTAATGATGGCTTCAATCAACATGAAGCTGACTTGAAAGTACTTATATTCTTATTTTGGTTTTTTATATTTTCAGTCATTTGCTACAACTCCAATCCAGAAGAAGCACTTTCAAGTATAAATTTTCAATGTGAACAAGTCATAGTGTACATATCTGTTGAATTTGTCAACAATATTTGTTTTACATTATGCTTAGTTTATCATTGTAATTAACAAATTGCTAAGCTATTTAAACATTGGAAATCACTGCTAAGTGAGATTCATACTTCTCAATGGAAGTCTGAAACCTTGGAAAGGACATCTTAAACAATTCTTTTCTTCTTTTTTTTTTTTCTTTCTTTCTTTTTTTTTTTTTCTTTCTTTTTTTTTTTTAATAGAGGCATGCTTTATTTATTTGTTTGCTGGTTTGTTTGTTTGTTTTGTTTATACATGCACTGGGTACAGTCAGAAGCACGGGAGGGTGAGAGAATTCACCAGAGCCAGAGCGGGGAGCAGAGCAGGCAGAAGGACCGAAGTACACTGCTGAGGGGAGCAGCGGGCGGCAGGAGAGGTCTGCACGCCATGTGGGACCCTCCTCCGGTGGCCGGGGAGCAGCCGGGGATCAAACCAGCGCCGCAGAGGCCGCGGGCAGCTTCGCAACCCAGCGCTCAACCGCTGCACCACCGGGGAGGCCCTTAAACAATTCTTTTCTGAGCAGGAATGTTGATGTTCTTTTTTACTCATAGGTAATGATTGTGCTTTAAGCCTTATTAAGACATTTCATAGTAAAAATTTTTTTCCCATGAAGTACACATTATCATATTTTGTAAATTAAAAAAAAAATGTTATTGGATCACTTGAGAGAAAAATTCTAAGGAGTCATTTGTTAAGGCGAATTAAAGAATTAAAGATCTTTCCCTAGTCAGCCTTTGGTAATAGAAATAGAGTATCTTTCCATTATAGTGACATTTTTGAAAAAACTAGTGTTAGACGTATTTATGAAAGACAAAACCACTCAGCTAATTCTGGTGTTTGTAATCATTTTGGGCTTTGCTGCTACTTAATTGCTAAAGGTCTAATAAAAGTAAAAGGGTATCTTTCAATCATCATCCATTAGCATAATCATGAATAGACTATAACACCGTTTCAAAGTTTCAGTGTTAAATTTTAGGTGCATTTAGAATTGTAAAACAGTTCTAAAAATTTCAACCCAAATGTGCTAGTCATTTAAAATCACCTATGTTACTCAGATGCATATGGAGAGAACTTTTAGTTCTCTTTATCCAATTTTATTTTACTGGCATACTAGATTTTTATCATGAAATCTTTGTTTCTAGGGTCTTTGTTTATTAATAGAAGAGGGGTTAACTGTGTAAATAGGATCTTTAGATTGGGTGAGAAAGATATATTGTATATGCTGGCCAAGATGTAACGATCATTATTAGTTTTATTGAGTGCTAACAATCTGTGATAATTTTTGTGCAGTGTCTAGACAATGTCATCCCAAGAGACTGAAATTCTAAATGAACTAGACACTGGAGATAATTTAAGAATTCATTCAAGAATTACCTATATAATCCTTGCCAAAAGTGTTTAACCTGACTAATCCATTTTGTGGGATTTTCTACAAGCCAACTGGTCTGAACTCTTCAAAGATGTCAAAGTGATGAAAATTTAAAAGGCAGGTGAGCTATTCTAGATGAAAGAAGAAGAAAGAGAAGTGATAGTCATATCCAGTGCCTGATTTAGGAAAATAAAAATAAAAAGGATTTTGGGGGACAACTGGAGAAATTTCAACATATAGTGTATTCTAGATAGTATTGTGTGAGTATTAAATGTCTTGGGTGTGATGATATGGTATTGTGGTTAGAAGGGAGAATGTTCTTATTAGACCATAACTGTTTGAAATGTTAAGGTAGAAATGTCATGATGTCTGCAATTTGCTTTCCTAGGGTTCAGGAAAAAAAATATGTATTTGTTGAGAGAGAAATCAAAACATTTACCATGGTGAATGTAGGTAAAGAGCAAATGGATGTTCATTTGACCTATTCTTTCACTTTTTAATAGGATTTCAATTTTTCAAAAATAAAAGTTGGGGAGATTAAAAAAGTACAATTAAGAAATTCCTTGAAATTGGCCTCCCTGGTGGTGCAAGGGCTTAAGCACCGCACTATGAAGCAATATGCAGCCTCTGCAGCACGAGTTCAATCCCTGGCCAGCCAGGGAGAAACCCATATGGCGAAGCAGACTTCTCCTGTCTCACTGGCTGCTCCCCTCAGCAGTGTATTTCAGTCAGTCTGCCTGTTCTGCTCCCCACTCTGTCTCTGGTGAATCCTCTCTCTCTCTCTCTCTCTCTCTCTCTCTCTCTCTCTCTCTCTGTCACACACACACACACACACACACACACACACACACACACACCCCTGCATTTCTGGCCTGTGCCCCAGCTCTTGTACACATAAATAAATAAATCTTAAAAAAAAAAAAAGAGGAAGAAGAAGAAAAATTCCTCGAAATAGCTAGGCTTGGAAAAGGCTACCATTATATTTGAGAATTTGGAAAGAAGAAAATGAGTTTTAAAGTACATTGTTCATAAGTGGTGTGAAGTGGAGGTTACTTGTTTAGCAAAAAGGAGTTAGTTTCAGCTGCATTAAAGTGGTGGGGCTTGGAATAACATGCAGAAGTAAGAATGGACAAAGCAGTTGATTAAAGAGAGCTTGGGTCAGTATCAGAGAATTAATTGAAATAGGTAAAATCTAGAAAAGAGGGATGAAGAAGCAATAGCTGAAGTCTGCCAGGGCAGTTGACTCTGACTCCATCAAGGGGACAGCAAAGTTTTTTGTTTTTTTTTTAAAGATTTATTCATTTATGCATACAAGAACTGGGGCACAGGCCAGAGGTGTGGGGGTGAGAGGATTCACTAGAGACAGAGCGGGGAACAGAACAGGCAGACTGACTGAAATACACTGCTGAGGGGAGCAGCGGGCGAGTCAGGAGAGGTCTGTGCCATGTGGGTAGCTCCCTGGCCGGGGATCGAACTTATGCTGCAGTGGCTGCGGTTGGCTTCATAGGTTGCGTCTCACCCCCCTGTGCCATCAGGGAGGCCCAGCAAAGTTGTTTTGATACTAGGTTTTCTTTTCTTTTTTTTTTTTTTAAACAAAGCTTAATTGGTTTATAAATGTAATTCAAAATTATGGAAAATTTAAACACTACAAAAATAGATATTGTAGAAAGTAAGACAGCCATATGTTTATTTTATCAGAGAGACTGAAGTAAAAAAGTTGGTATAGGGATCAAATGAATACTAAAAGTACTGGTAAGTAGGAGAGAGAAAGCATTTTTTAAATGTATCTCCCCTCCTTGTTAATCACACTACTTGCCGGGTTTCATCACTGGCTCAGGTGACCAGCCTGGGAATTGGCCAGACTTTCCTTCCCTTCATATCCAGTTCTACCAGATTCAGTTCTCTGTAACCCACAGCATCTTTTTCTCACTTCTTGCTTCTCTTCTTGTAGAGCCTCTTTTTAGGACTATTTCATTTAGCCTGTGTGCTGCCAACAGGATCTGCTGATCCTGTGAAAGATCATTCTAGTGCATGAAGTCCTTGGTGAGCACTTCCTGTTCTTTAGATAAACTCTTTTCTTTGTTTGTGTAGCCTTCCCTTCAGGATAAACCTCTGCGACCTTGGGCTGTACTCCTCCTCCTCCTTTCACACCTCCATTGCCCAGACCTACTTTACTACGTGAAGTGCCCTGGAATACTGTGTTTGTGTTGAGAGTGGGCTCTTTGCTTTACTTCTGTGCGGAACCTCGTCCCTTACTTAACTAGCCTCTTCATTCTAGATTTAACCAAGAGGATTTCTGAGAAGCTTTTCCCCCTTTACTCCAAGGCTCTGTGGGACTTTCGGACATAGGCTTCAGAGGCATACCTGGGTTCAAATTATGTTACTTTTAGTAGATGCATCACCTTGGACAAAGCACTTAATTATGTTTTATTTCAGTTTCCCTTTCTGAGGAAGAGGGATTACAAAAAGCTAGTTTATAGGATGGTTGTAAGAATGAAAATAACTCCACAGAGCTCAGTGACAGGCACATTGTGAGTGCTTACTACATGTGATCTGCATCTTGGTCATCATTTCAGTGTTCTATCTGCTGCCTCTTGTGTACTCCCATGAGCAGCCTCATGAATTTCCAAATTTCTTTAAACATTTTATGTTCTTTATTCATACTGAACTGTTCTCTTCAAGGGTAAGAACAGTGTACTTTTAATGCTGAATACAGTGGCCGGCACAAAGTAAATGTGTAAGTAAATGAAAGCGTAAGACGCTTATGTTCTGGAAGATAATGTAGGGAAGAGCACAGGCTCTGCTGCTTACTAGCTGTGTGACTTGTTGCTTGTCTTCCTTGCTTCCAGGTTGAAATGGAGGATAACTGCACCTACCTTAGAATTTACAGATTGCATTTCCTGTTATGTGGGAAACACTTAGCATAGTACGATGCCCACAGTGGATGCGTAATAAATGTTTATGAAAGGAGTTAATCTTAATCTGGGTGAGATTTGACAGTAGATCTCTTTGCCTTTTATTTTTTAAGATTTATTTATTTATGTGTACAGGAGCTGGGGTACAGGCCAGAGATGCGGTGGGTGAGAAGATTCACCAGAGACAGAGTAGGGAGCAGAGCAGGCAGATGTACTGAAATACACTGCTGAGGGGAGCAGCAGGCAAGACAGGAGAGGTCTGCTGAGCCATGTGGGCCACCTCCCTGGCTGGGGATTGAACTTGTGCCACAGTGGCTCTGGATAGCTTCAAAGTGCTGTGTCTTAACCCCTTGTTCCACGGGAGAGGCCCCATAAATCAGTTTGACTTTAAATGCCATATTTGAAATGAAGGTTTTTAAAAGTATTTTATTTTGTATCTTCCAACCTTAGTCTCTAGCTTTTGAAAGGATTTAAACCTAAAATTCTTATTGAGAAAAATGATAAAAATTTCCTTTTCTGTAGTATAGATAGAATTTGGGATTTATGTATTTATAAACATATATTTGATGAGTTTCTACTACAAAGCAACACATTTCTGGTTATACTTAGAAGCTTAAATGCCATCTTGAAGAGCACTCAGTATAGCATATAATAAATAGCCTTCCAAAACTGTAACAGAAAATTAGAACGCTGGAGCATCCTATGACTAATACCATCGGAAGAACAGATGACTAAACTGTAGACTATATCTGGTATGGGATGTTTGCTCTCTCTTTCTATAAATTGATAATCCTTTCAAGTTTAAACTTTGTCCATCAATGGCCTGAAGAATTATATTGTGTGTGTGTATGTGTGTATGTGAACTTAAGTACATTTTATTCTTGAAACCTAAGGCTTTGAAAGTAGGATGCTTTTAATGAAAGCCAGAGCAATAAAACTAATCATTGGAAATGTCCATTAAGGCAGGTTGGTTATTTTTGACAATACTGCACAGTTTTATTTAAAACATGTGATGTTTGCTATAGAAGTTATTGTTTGTGTCAGACTATCACTTAATAGTGGTTATTACTTAAGTGGTTCTAGGAGGACCTAATACTTTGCAAGTTAGTTCTTGCAAACTAACTTGGCTATCGAGAAACAGCAGGCACAGGAACAAGGACATAGCTCAAAGAGCTGTATGGGATCAATGAAATAAAATTCCTTGCTATATTAAGTTATGGAAAGATCTGAAAAGTACATATGACTTTAAGAAATGATATTTATTTTTTATGCTTTTTTAAAAAAGCATTTATTTATTTATTTTAGATTTATTTATTTATTTATACAAGCACTGGGTATAGTCAGAAGCACAGGAGGGTGAGAGAATTCACCAGAGCCCCAGAGCAGGGAGCAGAGAAGGCAGAAGGACCGTACACTGCTGACAGGAGCAGTGGGCGGCAGGAGAGGTCTGCGCCCCATGTGGGACCCTCCTCCGGTGGCTGGGGAGCAGCCGGGAATCCAACCAGCGCTGCAGAGGCTGTAGGCAGGCTTGCAACACAGCACTCAACCGCTGCGCCACGGGGGAGGGCCCAAAGAAACGATATTTAATATAACATCTTCAGTGGTGGTTAACTGACTGGTGGTTGGAAAGGCAGGTGAGTAGATTAGGAAATAAGTTTGCAAAAGTAGGCCAGGCTTGCTGACTTAAAATAGGAATGAAAGAAGAGTTATTTGTAGTCAACAGAGATAACTGTTTAGGTAAATCTTCCTGTCCCTTGAGGTAAGCCCACACAATAATCTATAAATAATAGCTCATTGGCCAATAACTTTTTTTTTTTTTTAAAGAGGCATGTATTTTTATTTATTTATTGTTTGTTTGTTTGTTTGTTTGTACATGCACTGGGTACAGTCAGAAGCGCGGGAGGGTGAGAGAATTCACCAGAGTCAGAGCAGGGAGCAAAGCAGGCAGAAGGACCGAAGTACACTACTGAGGGGAGCAGCGGGCGGCAGGAGAGGTCTGCATGCCATGTGGGACCCTCCTCCAGTGGCCGGGGAGCAGCCGGGGATCGAACCGGTGCTGCAGAGGCTGCAGGCAGCTTCGCAACCCAGCGCTCAACCGCTGCGCCACTGGGGAGGCCCATCATTGGCCAATAACTTTTGATGTTGATCTTTCATACTTACTGCAAAATAAAGTTGTCATCCCCAGTGAGTTCTTTTCTCTTTTTAT